CCATAGAACACCTGTGGAGACATCTCAAAACAGCAGTTGGGAGAAGGCATCCTTCAAATCTGAAGACCCTGGAGCAGTCTGCAAAAGAAAAGTGGTCCAAAATTTCAGTAGAGAGGTGTAAGAAATTCATTCATAGTTATAGGAAGCGATTGATTTCAGTTGTTTTTTCCAAAGGGGGTGCTACGAAATATTAAGTTAATGGTGCCAATAATTTTGGCCAATGCATTTTGGGGTTTCTGTGTGGGATTGTATCAGATTTGACTTTTCTTCTGTGTTCTTTTGTGTTGTTCCAATGCAGACCAAAGGAATGAACATGTGAGTACCAAAACATTTGCAACTGCAAAAATTTTCTGAGAGAACGGCTGCATTTTCTGACAGAATTGCAAGTGTGCCAATATTTTTGGCCATGACTGTAGCTATACAATATCTGATGACTTATATCTTTCAATGCTGCTGGCTAACATAGAACTTCTTTTTAACTTTAACTTTGTAAAAGAAGCAGATGGTGCATTGATGGTGACATGTTTTGACTAATGTCTCTGATATTATGTGATTTTATCTGAATAATGCATTATTATCTTTCTAGTCACTGACCGTAAAAATTATTATTATTACTATATGATTACTGTAATTGCTATTCTTCATACTCTTCTAATTCCTGCAAAGATGAGAAATTCCCTCAACTATTAGCCAGAGTTAGGCAGTCATCTCAGATCACAGATTTCAAGTAGGTACTGTGAAAGGGCAAGAATATGACAGTTATGGGGTGAGTCATTTGCCACCTTGCCCCAGGCAATAAAATTTCTTGTACTGCCCTATAATGGGTGTAATTCAGCATAACCTTTGTTGATATTTAAGACTTGTAAAACATAATACCTCCAGAATTTAAAAGATGTACTTTCTTGAATTTTGACTTACAAAACACCCAAGGTAGCATGACTACTCACTTGTGCTGGCTAGTTGACTGAGGGAACTAAAGTGAAACAAATTAACTTCTTCAAGCTCTGTTAATTCAGACTAAAAACCGAGATGAGACCAGTAAAACCTTTCATTTTAAGGCAGCATCCACTAGCTTTTAATTAGTGTGGAGTGTCTTAATGGCACATTCTGTTGAGTTTGTGCATTATAAAAGTTTTGTACCATAACTTTACTTTTACTTTACTTTATTTGGACTTATACCCCACCCCTCTAGACAAAGTCTACTCAGCACGGCTTACATGAGTGATAAAATAAAATAAAATAAAATAACATACATAATAATAAAACCTACTAACAGATGCATATATAGATTATAAAGATGAGATAATTGAGAAACAAAGATCAATTAATTGACTAGAGGAAAGGCCTGCCTAAAGAGCCAAGTTTTTAAATGGCTTTTTAAA